TTGCGGAAGTGTTTACCAGGCACTATTAGCTTTTTATTGATGCCAGGGTCATTAAAGCGGAAGCTCATTATGCGCTAAGACCGAATTTGAGATACAGTACAAGGATATTAAGCTTCATTTACTTCACAAAGTTCTTATTTAAGTATTTCCTAACTTAACATGTCACGCGCTTAACCCAAGTTAACTTCAAATAGGTTAAATGGTTGAAATGTAGAAAACTTAAAAGAAACCCCTCTTTTTAAAAACAGTGCATACGTACGAAATAAAATTTGAAATTTGTATACCATATACAATCAAAATTTGCTGTGGGCTGTTCCATATTTTTCTCCTTGTTTCCTAATTCGAACAAAAATATGGTTCTCTTCACAACTACATAAACAACAAATTGACGTAATTGTATCTTTAAGACTATATGATCATTCGCTTAGTTGTAAATATTTTCAAGAATAAAAATAAATTTTTATTTTAAAAAACTAGAGCAAGCATTTTAATAAAATATATATAAAATTTGAATAACAGGAAGCTTAGGACCGGATAGTTCAACTTTATATTAATAAAATAAATTACAGTTATAACTTTTGAATTTCTTAGGATCTTTACGGATCAATTTTATGTAATTTTTAACAAACTAGAATTCCTTAATGAAATTATATTTTTAGTTGAAAAAGAAAAACATCAACACGTTCATCTTCAGATGATGTTTCCAATCAATGCACCTCAAAAAAAAAAAAAATAAATAAATAAATAAAGATAAAGAGCGAGAAAAGCATAATAATAGTATAGTTAATTCATTCAGGAAGTTAAGTATGCAAAAAATTAAAATACATATTTATGTTCCGTGAGTTAAATATTATAGTAGTGAGAAACATCTGAGAGTATTATACTCATAATACAGAAATTCTGTATTGCGAACTTTAACATTTTTACTTTTTCATTTTGAATAATTTTCCCTTGAGAAACTGTTTGCCAACAATTATTTCTAAACGAATAAATGAAACGTAAATACGTCTCTTAATAGCAAAGTAAACAAAGGCTCGTTAATGATTTCATAAACAATGCCAATCAGAGACATATTTACGTAATTGGTTTTACTATTAAACCATTTCATTAATTTCTGTTTTTTTCAAAAGCAAAAAACTTGATTAGGAATCCAGTTGTAATTAATTATCTTCATTATAGTCGTTTTTATCAAAAAGATAATAACTATAGTTATTATTTAAGGGTACAAAAACAAATTAATGAACACAAAATAAAAAATATTTCATTCTAGTTCACTGGCGAATCAACCGTGTGACCGGGATGTTTCAGTGTAGGAGTCATATTAAGAAAAATATTTTTTTTTTTTATAGCTCTATATTTGTTTCTTTGAGTGATCTATGTTATAAATACTTAAACAATTACAATATATACTGTTTTAAAATTATAACCCATATACACATGCTTGATGTAAGCATGTGTCAAGAGAAATATATTAAAAAATTATCCCTAAAAGCATTATTGTAGTTATAATTAATTTTTTGTACATCATTTTATATAGTTTCTTTTTCTTCCCGAGTAATTACCGTATAAAGAAAACATAATAAAAATCCCCCCCCCGAAATTAAATTCTGAATCCTTATTCATCAATGGTCCAAGCAGTTAATTTAATAAGAGAATGTAAAACTAAAAAAAAAAAATTATATCAAAGCATGTTTCAATAAAATGTTTAATCATTTAAAATAAAATTTCATTTGTTTGGAAATATAAATTTCATATTTGAAGTAATATAAAGGAAGTGTTGAAAAAATAATTAAATACAGGGAAATTTAAAGCATTCAGCCATGCACATATCCTACATCCACAAAGGGACACTCAAACGTGTGATTTAGTTAAAACCAATATTTGAGACACGATAAGATCTTCGCAGAAACCATACAGAGTTTTCCCTGTACCAAGGGCAGCCTATATCAGCTGATATTGTTTTATGATGCTTAGCGGGATGACGGAGGTTCAATTTAGCGAACTGTTGATGACGATTTGGTGATCTGTAGAGGCATAACGACGTCATCAAATCGATAAGAGATGGTTAATGTTTAATATAAATTAAATTAGCTTCGTACTATATTTATCTATTCATCTATTTTATCGCCAAGAATATGATTCATTTCCTTTGTTTACTAGTGACAAAGAAATTCCGCAGCACTGGCGATAATATTGAATTTTTATTCAGAACCCTTGAAACAAAGCTATAAATAATATATTATAATTAAAGCAATGGTATAACTTTAGAGACATTCTTATAATTATTTTTTAACAACTTCTATAAAATAAAATATGAAAGAAATTTACAGAACTAAAAGATCTAATGCCATTATTTAATTGCTAGTGTAACTAAACATGACTGCTAACTGCTCTCATAATAAGACAAAGAAATTAATTGGATATTTTGGTTCATTATTTTCAATAATAAACATAGGCAATAAATATTTAGAACGCAGTCATTATAAATTTTTTATTGGTGCCGACGTTTCAACCCATACATCAGGGCGTATTTCAAGTACTGAAGGTAATCAAGTACAAAGTACCCACAGTACAGTACTCAGTACCAGTACTTGAATATCTTCAGTGCTCGAAACACGCCCTGATGATGACCCATATGTTTGGGTTGAAACGTCAGCACTAATAAAATCTTTATAATGACTGCGTCCTGAATAATTATCAGCCATGATATATAGAACTTGATATGTAAACTTCCTTGAATAATTCAATAATAAACAATAATAATCGTCCAAAAAATCAAAAATTTACCCTCTACCCTCTCTTAAAATTTGAGGTCTAATGTTTCACGATACGTAGAATTCGAAATTCGAATACAGTTTTTTTTGTCTGTCCGTGAATTTTCTCCGAGACTCTTTTCAAATTTGGAATCAGTCAGAGGTCACCCGAGGATGATCCTCCTACCTCGACATTACTATCCGCTCTTTGCTTCCAAAATGGCAGCCGAAAAACCTGTGTTGGTATTGACTGAAGCGCCTAAGTGAATGCGCCAATTTCAATGAAACTTGTCTAAAGCCTTCTCCTCGATGACCTTTAAATTAATTTATATAACGTACTTCAACGAAAAGAAGCTGGAAAAAAATTTACGAGGGATGCTAAAATTACATTACCGAATAAATCAAGACGTATACACTTTTTTTTAATGTTGTATGTATGGTCATTTAAAGTACACGAATTTTACTAAAAACACACAAAAAAAAAAATCGTTGAAATCGGAAATTTTGGAGCAGAAATGGTGTTCTAAATATGTTTTATATGTTCTATGTGCTTATTTATATATTTTGTTTTGGCTTTTGATTTTTTGAAAGTTTGATATCAACTGTGGCAATGTTGTCTATTTTTTAAGCAAATTATCAATCATAAAAAAGAAAATTGTATAGGCTAATATTAAGAATCCCTTTTTTTTTATTTTCCGTAATGTTACGTGGAAAGTAGTCTTAATTTTGATATTAAATTGTTTGAAAATAATATAACATTGTGTAATAATTTGCAGTTTTTTTTTTTTGGAATTATTATAGCTCAAAACCAAAACTTTTAATTTATCGCTCATAAAATGGACAGATTAATGATAACATACAACTCAGCAAAGAATCGTAATATTGAAACTCGTACTAATAAATAGCTGCTCTAAAAACTATATTATTTTTATGACAGCAATAAGATTAAATTAAAAAGATTAAGCAAAGCCCATGATGAAATATAGATTCGTAAGGATGTAATGTTGTATGATACAATCTTGACCCTGTTTGATGCAATGTTTTAATCTTTGAGGCAATAAAACCTATTAATCTTTCTTTTTTTTTTTTTTTTAGATTTTATTATTGAATATAGAAAAAGTAATCACTTCATCCTTAAAGCCAAACCGAGCAACTAACAATTTAATCCTGTGTTTAAATAGGGGTTATATAAATACTCTGTGTCAATATTCTATTCTAACGATGGGCGTTGTGCCGGTATGATTAAAATAGTCTTTAATGTCGTCTTTCGGTACTTGTCTTCTCAATACAAATACATTATTTTCTTTGTTGAGAATTTTCACATCTTGAAAATCAAGCTTGTATAATAACAATTACAGAAGATAATGATTATGCAATCATAATAGAGGATTTATGATTGACTATAGTGAATAATTGAAGAGAAGTTGGTAGGGGTGTTCAGTCAAAATACAATGTAAAAATAAATAAATGATATTTATTTTTATTTTTGTCGACGTATCGGCCCAAAGTTCTCGCCTTCATCAGGACAAAGAAAACGCCATATAGCAATAAGTATGAGAAACTATTAACAGTAAAAAAATATAAATGTAGATGAAAGGTATAGTTTAATAACATGTATGTAGAATAAACATAACATTAATAAATAAGCGGAGAGGCAGAAATATGAAATAATCTGTAATTGATCATGCAATAAATTTTAAAACTGATTCCGGAAATATTAATAAAAATTACGCAGACTAATTAAAAAATTATATAGTTAATATTCCTATTACATTCTGAAAACATGAATAGCTTAAAATAAATAAGGAGGTGGCTAAAAAATCTTATGGATCAATCTAAAGTTAGTGTTGTAAATTGATGTGGCTCATTATTCCAATAAATCGATTATTTTTTCAAATTATTGACTACTAATGGAAAGGAAAAATAAGGAAATGTTTAAAAATTACTAACTAAATTTTTAAACAAATAAACTTATCCCCCAAAAAAATATTTTAATTAAATTATATTTCTAAGAAACATTTTTTTTTTTACTCTGTCTAACTATTAATAATACATTTTGGAAATTCCATTTATTCAGTTAAATGCCTGAAAAAGAAAATGTGAAATAAAGAGAGAATATTAAAACAACTAGACTTCTTTAAGTAGACTACATTCTAGACTGACTCAGTTTCTGAGTTAGCTCGTCTGTGACCCATCTTTTTGATTTATTTCCGCGTTTTCTCCTGAACAAGTTTCAGCCCGAAAACAATGGTAAGTAGATAAACCTCGACCAGGCAGGAAGAAAAGTAGAACAATAAAATCACTGATGAAATTTGCACGGTACAATGTCACTTTCTTTTGTCACTAATGATCCATTTCGAAACTTTTAAAACAATGCGTCAGCATATTTTTTTTAATTCTCATCAACGCGGAAATTATGTAATCCGTAAGATAGGTAACCTTCTGAAGTTACAGTTGGAGTCCATAAAATTTAATAAATTATATAATAATAGAAACAATTGGCTGATGCTGAGAAAAATACTTGTATGGCCGATAATTATACAATTTAAAAAGTATCCAAAATTGTAAAATCTTAATTATTAGTTAAACTGTGACTTAACTTTATTCATATAACTTAATTATTATTGTTATTTTTATTATTATTGAAACATATAATTTGCAACACTTTGGACAAAGGGAAAGATATTCTAAGTACGTTTTGTCACAAAATTGCCAAGATATGTAATATGATATAGAGCATGAAATGTACCTATATATTTTAGCTGGTCGTCTGACCATATAGGTGTAAAGGAAAAGAAGCTTTTATCCTTCTAGGCCGCGCTAAAGCTTTTTTTACTCCATCTGAACTTGCACGACCTATAAGAGAAACCATATCCCAAGAATGGCAAAGACGGTGGGACAGCGCACCTGGCAAATTAAAGACAATAAAGAAAGAGATGCGACCGTGGAGCAGCTTCAAACGTAGCAGTTATAGAGATGTCCTCACGCGGCTGAGAATCGGACATACTAGACTGACACACCTCCACCTCATAACAAAAGATCTTATCCCCTAGATGTCAAAAGTGTGACCAGTCATTAACTATAAGACATGATTTGGAAGAGTGCCCTTTTTACATCGCAAGATCACTCATAAAAATAAGTACGGTACAAGAAAATTTTATATATAGGTACATTGTTTGTTTGTTTCGATGTCTAGTCGTAAACATCTAGGTCATCAGCACTCGATCAACTAAATCACACTACTTTTATACTGTATAGGTGGTTGGTAGAAAAAATAAATTAAATAAAACATTAATAGAATAAAATAAATAAATAAAGATAATAATAATCTTTTTTTTAGATGAAGACTGGAAGCGGAAGCAGAGTGGACCTGGAGAGCTTGAAGGCCTTGGTGACCCAGCCGGGGAAGCCCATCGTCATCGACAGGGTGGCCAAGGAGGGATCGGCCAAGCTGCTCCCGGGAGTGAAGAGGAAGAGGGGGAGCTCCTTAAGGCAGGTCAGTACAAGGGATTAGTGACCCCTTAATGTAGCTCACATTTTTTTTTTTTTTTCTGTTGACATTACAGACCTTGTAGATTTTTTTACCGCGTTTTTCCAGCCTTCTCCATCTCTGCCTATCTCGGGATATTTCTTTACAGTTATCTGCATGCAGCTTTATTGCACCTTTGTTGATTTGATCTAGCCATCTTCTTTTTGATTTCTATGGATCTTCCATTTGATCTTTTGGATACTATTGTTGTGTAGAGTCTTCCTGATGAATGGCTCCAAGTTACATACCCAGCTCATGCATGGGCAGATCTACGGGGGGGAGAGGGAGGGAGGTAGCTTTCGCGCTGAAGCCCCCCAAAATGGTAAAATGCAACCATGTTTTACAGAAAAAAATATCAAAAACTATCTCTTTAAGTATTCTTGTTCGAGTAATTACATTTAATAGGACTTCGAGGACCACTTAAACACCATTTCATATAGGTCGTTAATTTCTTTCTTTTTTTTCTAATTAATTATCGTTATATGTAAAGGAAAAAAAATCGTTCAAGCTGAAGCTCCCCAAAATTAAATCCTGAATCCGCTAGTGAGCTCATGTTAACCTCCTTGATGATGAGATATTTCAATACCTGATGATCAGTTTTTGTAAGCAACTCTTTATTGGTCTTTCTTTTCCATACGTTAGTACCATTATCTCTAGATCACTCCAATTATCGTTCGGAGGACTTTTCGCTCAAAAATTTCTAGGCCTCTTTCTAGAGTGCTGCTTAGTATCTAAATTTGGTGGGTGAATATCGGTACTGGCTTTATCATAGCATTGTGCATCATTAATTTGAGATTTCAATTTCTTTGAAAAAAAGATGGAGCTCTGTTTGCACTTGATATACGCTGGTCATGTTGGTCAGTACGTTATTAATAGCATCAATGACCTACAGGAAGTCAAGACTACGGAGTAGTGACTCTCAATGCAGGTCATCCCTAGGGATAAAAGCATTAAGGTGGTCAGTACAGAGGATAAATAACTTCAAGCAAGTCAGTACTAGAGCTTGGTGATTGCAAGTAGGTCAGAATTAGGAATTAGTGACTAATCTGAGTACCTGTACTGTATCATTTAGTCATATAATAAAGTTCTAATACATCGGAAATAAATAAATAGAATTTCTTTGAAAACCCAGATAATATTTTCTATTATTTTCTATGCCTACACACATTTACTATTATCAACAAGAAAAAAATTAATATAAACTATTTCCATATTAATAAGAAAGTACCTTATTTATGAACATTATTGGTTGCAGAAAAAAATCATTAATAACAAATTAAAAGGATGTCGATCCAAAGGCAAAATAAGTCAAAATTCATTTTCCTGCAAAGTTTAAAATCATTTCTCCTAAGGCAATGTGAAAATGAAATAATGAAATACTTCATCTGTGAATTTGTTTTATCATAATCAGGGGAAAATTCAAACCTTGTTTTCTCACAATTTGGAGCTTGGAACCTTTGTACCGGTTTCGCTTTTGGACCCACGACATGATTTAATTCATTACGTTTAAATCATTTAGAAAATTTCCGAATGATATTGCAAAATTTTGCTCTCCATTGTTGCCTTGGAAAACTAAAATAGGTTTCTTTAAAAACATTTTAAAATGAATAATGTATCATGTAATTACGTAAGAGGATATATTTTTACTGTATCATAATTCTTTAATTTCATTAGAAAGTCAATTTCGCAATCTTAATATTAAGCGGTTGGGTTTAGGAATATCCATTTCAAAGGAGTGGGAAGTTTTCCTGATCCCACTAAAATTAGCTTTCTCCTTATTGCACCTTTGGCGCTTTCACCAATCTTTAAAGATTAATTAATTTTCCTATTAAGGATAATTAAATTATTCCATATAAATATTAAGCATAATTAAAACGGAAATACCATCACCCAACTCTTCCTCGAAAATATTTGTCCATCAAATGTAAAAATATCACATTTACCTCTCAAAGTATTTTATAGTTTTTGAGATGATTAAGGCTATTTTTTTTTTAAATCTATAATAATACCCCACTTTTGGAATATTTAATAATTCTTCAAAATTTGGGGGTCAACATATTTTTTTTGCTTTCCCTATATCTTGCTCGAAATGAGTTGAATTGTTTTTTCAGGAAATGGATTATGAAATAATTTTTTGATTGCAAGATTCATATACGATCAATGTATAAAATGTATATAAAATCACTCTTAACCTAAAACCGTTTCTAAAATAATTTATTCAATTAAAGAAAGCTTGTTAATCTATAAAACAAATGAAAATTTTGAATTATTAAAGCTTCTTAAATAGAATGCTCACTCAAACCCAAATGTGATTCCAGAAGTTTCGTTTGAAAGTTGTAACTTGTTAATAATAATTTTTTTTGTAATTTTTTCATGTAAAGTTAAAAATAAAATAAAAAACTCTGTTCCCAAATAGAAAATTAATACGAGCGTACGTTTTCTAGTGCTGGTTAAAATGTATCAATCATAATGAGTAACACTAGTAAAACTAAACTATGAGTAATGAATAAATTACATAAACAAATATTTATAAATAGTACTGTTAGCTGCTACTCGATGTTATTGATCTATCGATACTCCGAACTATCGAACTATTGCAAGTAAAAATCCATTTACTGAGCTCATCGATTGGTCCCTGAACTGGGCGGAAAGATGCCACAAATTGGCTCAGCTCTGTCTTTCATACCTTACCCTTTGACTAATGACTGAATTTTTATTTTACTTCACTACGGCATTACTTTCTCTTTACGGATATTCGTCAATGTATTGTAAATTATATGCTGAAGACAACAGTGGGATAATATGTTAATGCTAGAGCAGGCCACGCGCTGGCGGTGTGGAGTTGCCCAGTAATTACTTAATTGTCAACAATTACCAGGAACGGTTGTTAAATATCCTTCGCCGTGGTAAACTGTTCCATTAATTGTTGCAAAATATCATCGCCATATTTGGCCCTTAGTGCGGCGTCATGAAATCCCAAATTACATGATATTCTAGAACAAGTTAATGAAATACATGTATTCAAATCAAATATTAATTAGGGAGAGAGCTTTGAGAAAGTTGTGGTTTCGAGATATACAAAAAAAAAAAATTAAAGGATGACTTCAAGATTAGTTTAAGAACACAACATGGCGTGTGAATTCCGGTGGTCGGTAAGTAGTTATTATCAATCCGAGAAATGAAAAAAATAATAAAATAAAGACAAAACTTTTAGATATAAATTTCAAGGACTACTCAATCGACCTACTTTATTGCCAGTTTTATTGGAAACAATTAAACGTTACGTGACAGATGACAATATTTTCGATTTTGACTGATGAGATATTTTTTTATGAATTTATCACGAAAACACCTGGCATAAACAAGTTGTTCATGAAACATTTCAATTTGAGATATATATAGAATTAAAATTAGGGATACGACAGCCTTGAAGATAGTTCGTTAAAATTTAGGAATCGAAATTATTAACTTTCATTTAGCACTTAAATACAATAGTGTCAGTGTCAGTTATAATTGTCATATAATTTACAAATAATTTCTTACAGTTAGTTAAGTATATGCACCTATATATTACAAAAAGTATCATTATGAATGATCCTTTACCTAGGCCTTATTTATTATTATATTCAGTGATAGATTTTTTGAGGTTCCTTCGCATCTGTTGGGAGAACCAGAAGGGATCGCATTAGGAACGAAAGCATTAGAGAGCAACTAGGAGTTACCGAACTTAAAACCACTCTAGAAAGACGGCAACTCCAATGGTTTGGACATGTCCGTCGCATGAACGAGGACATGAATCCTAAAAAGATATTAGAGGCTCGACCCACAGGAAGGAGATCACGCGGAAGTAAAAGAGGCTAAATCCTCAATGAGATGAAGCTGCTAAGCAAAGACCGGAAAGAGTGGTTACGCTGGATTGAGACTCCTCGAACTATTTCCATAAGAGGAAGATAAAGAAGAAGTGATAGATTTTTCAGCATTTTTCTCAAAGGCCATATTGTACAGAGGCTGAGTGTGTCACATTGGGGTCTTATGATCCCAAAGTCGATTTATTACTGAAATAAAATAAAATAAACTTTCATATAAAGATCAAAGGTCGGGTAAATCCAGAGGTACTTTTTGAAAGCGTAAATATCAGTGTGATCACAAAATCTTGGGGAAATATTACCTTGGGAATTCGAGACATTGTAATAAATCGGTAAGCTAACCATTTTATTTCTTGAAATATTTAAAATAGATTGGCGTAGACATAGACTGATTAATTTTATTTAAGCGTCCTGGCTCAATTTCTTATAAAGTCAGTAATTTTTCTAAAGTTTACTCTCTATAATAAATGATAATTTATTCAAGAGTAAAATAATTCGTAGACATGTTTTAAAGTTTTATTCTTGATATTTATTTTGGGAGGAGAAATTTCCCTCCCCCCTACGGCAGTTGATAGTATAATAAATAATGGTAAAACTTTTTCTTTCCATTAATGTCATACAATTCAAACATTTTGAAAAACTGTTTGAGAATCTCGTTTTGAAAAAAAAAAAACAATTAGCAACCATAAAAACGAAACTCTTATAGACAAGCATAAGTATCCATGGTTATTCTGATTTTTTTTTTTTACATTGGAAGCCTTCGAGATAAGGTGGAAATGTGACAGCAAATACTGATAAGCGGTGACGCCTAATCCTGCCATCAGGGACACTAACCACTCAGCTGATAAAATATAAGTTCGCAATCTAATCTAAAAAGATTAAAATAATTTTCGTGATTTTAAAGTCTTGAGCTAAGTCTCAGCTATGAGCCGTAATAAATTAACAAATAAAAAATATTCAATCCTGACTGCAGTTAACCTCGTAATAATCAAAATAGATTGAATCGTGTAATTATTTTTACGAACTCAGAAACAAACATACACTTTTTTGGAAACTGGATTAAGTTTT